GAATTCAGGATGGGAAAAGCCAGGGCTAAGCTTTCTGACATTACATTTATAGCTAAGATTCAACATCCGGGATTGGACTTGAAAGCTTAATCTCAAAGACTGTGAGGAGTAAGTATTCTACTGGAAGTTTATATAATTTAACATATTGACAATAAACTTCCGGGCTGAGTGTCACTTACACTCATATACAAATCGAAGAGTTGGCCAGCCAGAACAAAGTAACACTAAGACAATTTGTAACTATCAGTCCTTTACAAAAATGTAGGATTGTGGGCTGGGACGGTGGCTCAGTGGTAGAGCGCTTGCCTTGCATGCCTGAGGCCCTGGGTTCGATTCCTCAGCACCACATAAGCAAAAAGAAAAAAGCCGAGTGGCACTGTGGCTCAATTGGTAGAGTGCTAGCCTTGAGCTGAAGAGCTGAGGGACAGCGCCCAGTCCCAGAGTTCAGGCCCCACGACTGGACACCCCCCAAAAAATATAGGATTGTAAGTAAGAATTATCATCAAAATCAATTATCCACAAGCGATTGTCACTATTTGTAATATACCTAAAAGTATGTCCATATGATACTTTATGAATTTTTTGAAAGTCATTGTTTAATGTCATTCTCATTTTGCTCAATTTTATAAATTATATCTCTCATGACGTGTTAAAAGGAAGTTCAAAGATCCAAACAGCAGTATCATCTACACTGTACCTTCCTTTGACGCTTCTGAACTACCTGTGTCAATTTACACTCACAACAAAGGAATAGTAGACTTTCAGTTTGTTCTCTGTTAGATTTAAAATTGTTTCAGTTTTCCTTGTCTATTTTTACTGTTGGTTGATTAATTGCATATATGTACATACTACAGCAAGATAATCTAATGTACGTCCTCTCTTGAATAATTTAAAATAATTTTTGATTAACCTATTGTAGTTGCACAAATTTATGGATGTTATAAATAACTATTTCCTGTTCAATATTTTGAAAAGCAAAAGTTCTTAAGAACAAATCTCTCCATTTCACCCTTTTTAGGTGGTAATCTATATTTGATACCTGTTTAAGACAATATGATTTCCAAATCTCCTTGCTTTCCTATATTTCCTTGTAAAAGTTTTGAATTACCACTCTCACCACAACGTCCCAAGTTATAGTTGTTAAATCCACAAAAGACAATGGAATTATGAAAATGGTGTCCCTACCCCACAGGTTGGATTGACCAAACTAAGAAAGGAACAAGAAAGACATGGAAGGAAAAAGCATACCAAAATGCAGACACCAGATTAAACAGTCCAATCACATCTGAGCAGGGTCAATGTTCTTATTAAAAGGCATGGCCGTTGCATCTAAGTAGAAGACCACTAGACCATTCATTTGTGTGAATGTGTGAGGTTTGGGGTTCAATCCCCAGCAGCCCAAAAAATAATCAAAACAAGAACAAATAACTGCAACAAATCAAGATGTCCCCTAGAAGACATTCAATTTGCAAGTATAAAGAAACAGGATAGAAAAGTAAAGAGACAGGAAAAAGTAGCACGCTAATACTAATAGCCCAATTCAAGACATTAATATCAATGTTTCAGAATAAATCATATCACTTTAGAATTAAATTATACATTTTATTATATATAAAACACATTTTATATTTACTAAGTCTTTTATGTCTGTTTTATGAAAATGTATTTGGGAAGTATATTCATAATTCAAATAATTTCTTGGAATCAGTTAGAAAGCAGACATGATTTAACCTAAAAATTAGCAAAATAGTTGATAGGATCTTAAAAATGGAAGATACACAAACAGGCAGCTTCCTCTTCATATGACTGCGCCATTTGCTGCGGCAGCCATGGAGAAGCCTTGTTGACTGAGGGAATCCACGGTGCTTCCCTTGTGGGCATCACCAGGGGTCAAAGACAATGACTTGCCCAGGTCACAACACACTGATGACACCTGGCATGTAATGACTCTTGGGATTCTCCATGCTTACTAGAGTATATGAAGGAAGGAAGGACTTTTCTTCTCATTTTAGACAAGAAGGGTTGTTTCACACCTCCCTCATGTTTACAGACAAGAGCTGAGATTGCAAGAGACAATCCTCCAGTCCTCTGGAGTTGTCCTGGGGTCTGGAGGACCCTGGGGACAGCTCCTGGTTCGGGCAGTAGAGTGCCATTCCAGTAATGAGCAGAGCTGATCACCAGGGGGCAGTGTGGACCCACTGAGCAAGCTGCTGCCTGACTGGGAGAGTGTGGGTTCAGCCTTGGCTTCTTGTCCCAGGCTGGGATGTGTTTAGATAAACAGAGGGAGTGCTGGCCCAGGAGCTGAGAATCCTCTAGTCTCTCTCTGTTTCTCTGTGTCTCTGTCTTCCCTCACCCCTCTCTCTCTTTCTCAGACCTGTGCCCTCAGTAGGGAGATGATGCCTGGGGCTGCTCCCCTGGACTCTGCCCCAGGCCCCAGGCTCCTCTGTGGTGTTGTCCTGTGTCTCCTGGGAGCAGGTGAGTCAGGGGCACTGTGGGGCAGAGCCTGGTTGCTGGAGCATCCTATGCCCTCCCGGGCTAGGGCTTCATTGCTGTCTCTTCCCGCCTAGGTGTGGTGCATGCTGGGGTCCTCCAGTCCCCCAGACACCTGATCAAAGCCAAGGGAGGAAAGGCCACTCTGCAGTGCTCTCCTGACTCTGGACATGATACTGTGTACTGGTACCAGCAGGCCGAGGACCAGAGCCTCCAGTTCCTCATTTCCTATTTTCGAGAGTCAGAGAGAGAGAAAGGAAGCATCCCTGGCCGCTTCTCAGCTCGGCAGTTCAGTGACTATCACTCTGAGCTGAACATGAGCGCCTTGGAGCTGAGGGACTCCGCGCTGTATCTGTGTGCCAGCAGCTTGCACAGCCCTGCACAGGGACTGGCTTTCTCTACCCAAACCTTCCTGCCCCAGCTGAAGATGGCACTGAGGGAAGGCGGGGGGGACTGAGGCCCAGCCTTAGTAAACCCCAGGAGCCCTCTCCAGCTGTGATAACCCTTCTCTGTTCTGCCCAGCTCAGACAGTTTATGAGCTCTGTATTTCCTAACTCCCTGGACCGTCTCTGCTCTGTGCCCTAATGCACATTAAATATTATAATGCAAGCAAAGTCATTAGAGTATCCTCTTTATATGCGGGAGATGTTAAGGTATCAGTTCATAGATGGAAAGCTGTAGCTCATGGAATTTCGTAACATTTAATATTTAAAAGGATCAGTGCTGGGATAGAAGTGTACATTCACACCTCTAACCTGAAGTGCTCCTGAGGCTCTATAGTGTTTTCTGGCCTGTACAATAGCTGATAGCACAGCAGTGTCTGTCCACTGCAAGATCAGCTGAGCAGCAACAGTGAGTCCCATTATGGAATATGGTTGTTATGAGATAGTGCCTGCCATCAACTTTCAGGACAGAGAGCATTTACCCAGAGAATGAGCCCTATGATAAGTTGAAGAAGAGGTACATGTTTTCAGCAAACTAAAATTTTAATTCTGTAATGAATTTCAAAAGAAATGAGAAGTAGATATTTATAGCTGATACTGATACCCAAAGAAATTATTCTTTCAAAGCCTATCATAACAGGTAGATTACACCTTATGTTAAAATTGATCCTGGGAACTTTGATAGTCCCTGTACCTTTAACCCGACCCCTCAAGAAAAATGCAAGTCTCAGCTAGACTCCAATATGTATCCTACAAAATTAAAAAGAGTAATGGAAGGATGTGGGTAGGGGCAGCACAGGTGAAAATGTTTCAAGGGGTGACCTTGATCACTACACCATTGCCCCATAACTGTCTTGTTAAATGGAAAATCCTTTTTATATTTACATAAAGACAATAATTTAACATACATATATGTATATGTACATATGTTCAAAAAAGAAATCTTTCTTTCCATGGCATGGCCCAACCATGCTCCACAGGCTCCTTTTGTTGGTGTCTCTTGGGCTCTAGGACCAGCTGGGTCTTCCAAGGCCAGAGCACTAGCCTCTCATTGGATTCTGTCCACCTGCTGTGTCTAGTCCGATTCTGTATTCCTCCTCACTAGACCAAGAGGGCAGCAATGTCATCAAGATTCAGTCCCCTTGTGTGACCGCAGGATGGAGAGCTCACAGTGAGTCATGGCCTACCTGGAAAATGATAACAGGCAATGAATGCTACAGGGTAGGGATATATTTTCATGATACAGAACTTTAGGCTCCATCCATATTATTCTTTTGGTGAATGGGAGTCTGTGAATGAAGAAGACAGAGAATGTCGGTGTGATTCTGGACACAGCAGTCATCTATCTTTGCTGGTCAAAATCTCCTTCTTACTAGTAATCAGCCTTCTTACCCTTGGGCAGAAAGCACGGAATGGGGACATGAGTGATCCAGGCTCCATGGTGGACTGAAACCAGGGAGAATTCATCTCCTGAGGACACCTGGAGACCTGAGCCCAGAGGGCTGCTGTCACCAGAATCACTGTGAAACTAGATCCTGCACCCTGACCTTCACACGCTAATACCTGGATGTCTGGTAGCTTTTGAAGGCTGGGATACTTTCTCAGAATGACAGGTAATTATTTACCAATAGGGTAAATAAAAATACTTAAAAAAGCTACTTATAGGTCCTGAGAGCTAAGATGCCTTAGAAAGTCACAGGGCAGCAGTGCGGCTCTGCTGAGTCTGCCAGAACCTTAGGAACAATTGGAACAGTGGAATGAAAGGGACTTTTATCTTAAGGGAATTTAAAGATGACCAGGGGAACAGATGTCCTTCCTAAGAATATGAAAACACTAAAATAGATAGTTCCAGTTAATAAGAAATTAAATCTGGCACTCATTATGAACTGTTAAATCGTGTATATGCACTAACAGTACTCGTATAAATGCCATAACCCTGTGCATGCACATAACAGAAAGGAGTTGTTTCTGCAGGGAAGGGGTGTGGCAGGTTAGCAGCAGCCCAGGCATTGGTGGGGAGGTGAGGCCACTGAGTCACTGAGAAGCAACCTTCTTTTTCCTCCAAAGGAGGCTGGGAGACATGGGACTCTGCCCTGCTCCTGAGATGGTCGCCCAGCTGCTGCACATGGCCTTCTGTCTCCTGTGGGCAGGTGAGGGATGGCTATAGGTGGGCACCTCACTGCCTCCCACCCCAGGGCATCCCGGGGTTATCCCTGACAGGCCCCTTCAGGCTTGGGTCATTCTCTGTTTCAGGACACATGGAGGCTGCCATCAGCCAACATCCAAGACACAAGCTCACAGAGACAGGAAGACAGGTGAATTTGAGCTGTCGCCAGAATGACAACCATGACTACATGTACTGGTATCGACAAGATCCTGGACATGGGCTGAGGCTGCTCCATTATTCAAATGCAGAGAGAAGCACTGTAAAAGGAGACATCCCCGACGGGTACAGCGTGTCCAGACCACGCACGGAGGACTTCTCCCTCACTGTGGACTCAGCCACCTCCTCCCACACAGCTGTGTACTGGTGTGCCAGCAGTTTCTCCACAGTGCTGTGCAGCTGCCTCCTCTCTGCACAGAAAGTGTGAGGGGAGACAGAGGGCATCTGCTCGCCCCTTTGAAGTCTCCAGTCTGAACAGCAGTGCATGCCAACTCGTTCCTTCTCAGCCCCTATCAGACCAGAGCTTGGAGGATGCAGGATACAGATGTCCTTGCTTAAACACGCGTGCACCCTGGTGGTGCAATTACTTGTTTTGGATGACAGTGGGCAATGAATTAACATTGAATTGAATTGATCTTCAAGACTGGCAGGAAGATGCTCCTGGCAGAGTGGGATTTTATAGATGGAAGATATACAACAGAGTTATCCGTGAACTTTAGGATCTGTTTTATTGTATTAGTCAGTTTCCTATCCCTATGACATAACGTCTGAGTAAACCTAAGGAGAAAATTGTATTTTTTTGACTCACAATCTTAGGCATTTTAGACAGTGTTCACTTGGCTGTGTTGTTTCCACTAGAGAAGTTAGGCGTCATGGTGGGGAGAACATAACATAGCAGAGTTGATTGCTCCATAGCAGCCTGGCAGCAGAGATGGAGGGAGCAAAGAGGAAGGAGAGAGAAAGAACATAGGAAGGAAGGAAAGAAGGCAGGAAGGAAGGCAGGAAGGAAAGAAGGCAGGAAGGAAGGCAGGAAGGAAGGAAGGAAGGTGGGAAGGAAGGAAGGAAGGAAGGAAGGAAGGAAGGAAGGAAGGAAGGAAGGAAGGAAGGAAGGAAAGAAAATAAAAAGAAAGAATGAAGGAAGCAAGCAAGCATGCCAAGATGGAAGGAAGGATGCAAGGAAGGAAAAGAAGGGAAGAAATATTACAAAAATACTTGTAGATGGAAGTGGCTCGGTTGCTCACGTGGTAGAGTGCTAGCTTTAAGCTGAAGAGTTGAGGGATAGCACCCAGTCCCAGAGTTCAAGCCCCATGACCAATAAAAAAAATACATGTAGACAAGAGAGAGAGAGAATAAACACAAGTTATGCACATAACTTAGGACATGTCCAAGGGAGCAACTTCCTCCAACTAGGTTCCCAATTGTCATGTTCTCAGTTTTGCTCATCCCTCACCAGTTCATTCAGATCAGAAACCATGAATACAATGATCCATGAAGGAAACTGGAGGCCCAGTGATGGGACCACAAAGTTCCTGCTTCTGATCACTGCCTGCACACAACACCACATTCTTGAATGCAACACTGCACCTCTACACTATAAAAACATTTCTGAGCTGTTTTCGTTCTGTAGCATTGCTCACGACCTCTATAAATTTGGCAGAGAATTCTTATCACTAGATAACTGAAAGACAGCCCATGAGAACCTGGAGAAAGAGAAAGGCTCAAAGGGATTGGTAGTTACATGGCAGAGGGAAGCTCACTAGCTGATAGCTTGAATTTCAGTTGCTTTGGTAGAGGCAAGAAGAAATATCCAGGAGATCTGGAAATGTGCAGGGAGCCTCAACTCCTAAAGTGTTGGAACAGTTCGTGCTTTTCCACAGGCCATGACTGTGCACAGCCTCAAGAGCTCTGTGGGCTTGCAGCTATTGGACAGGAAGACAGAGGCCTCCGTGGAGATGTCACATAGCATCACGGTGGGGGCTGCTGGGTGGGGACACAGAAGCTCCTCCTCTGCTGCATTCCCCAGGACAGAGAGCTGGGAGCACCTCCTGCACTGCCTCACCATGGGCACCAGCCTGCCAGCCTGGGTGTCCCTGTGTCTCCTGGGGATGGGTGAGTCCTCACATCCCCACCATCTCCTTGTCACATCACCCCCCAAGATCATCTCCACTGTTTCCACCCAGATTCTTTGTCTTTTCCTCCACAGCACTCACAGAAGCTGGGGTCACTCAGTCTCCCAGATACAAGATCACAGAGAAAAGCCAAGCTGTGTCTCTTTGGTGTGATCCAGTTTCTGGTCACAATGTCCTCTTCTGGTACAGGCAGAGCCCGGGACAGGGCCCAGAGAGGCTGCTTTATTTTCAGAACAAGGATATGAGTGAGGATGCCCAGTTGCCCAAAGATCGGTTTTCTGCACAGAGGCCTGAAGGTGCAGACTCCACCCTGAAGATTCAGCCTGCACAGCTGGAGGACTCAGCGGTGTAACTCTGTGCCAGCAGCTTAGACACAGCCAGGCAGGGACCGTTTCCTGCTGTGCACAAAGCTCTGTGCTTCTCTGCCTCTGTGCAGCTCAGAGCTGCCCTGCACAGAGCCTGCACTTTCCTCACCATCTGAGGAAGGAGGAGGAGGCCCGTCTTCAGATGCAGGCTTCACTCATGTCAGGAGAGGGCAGGCATTGCTTCTTGAGACATGAGGGCTGCATTGTGTGAAAAGGATATCTGAGGGACTGGAAGCAATCAAGAACCCCAAAGCGACAGTCCCTCAGGAGAGACCTGGGCATCCCAGAGCCCAGATCTAACTGGTCCATAAACCATGCACTCTCAAAACACACAGCCAACTCAGGATCATAGAGTTGGTTGATATGCTCAACTGTTTTGCTGTTTCTCTGTGGCTCCTGAGTGACTGAATGTAAGCCTTGGTGGCATCCTTAGCATTAGCTTTTTAGTCTAGCTTCCTGTTTTTCTTTCCATGTGGATTCTCCTGCATTTTCTGCATTATGTTAGAGATTTTTCACTTTCTGTTCGCATGGAAATAAGTTAATAATAATGATGTTGTGTTGGTGATGATGATGATGATGATGGTCATTTATGTATTTTTGCCAGCAACTTCACAACTACAGAGAAATGCACATCCTAAATCGAAGTCTTGATTCAAAACAAATTCTGCTGTTTACTACAGCACTCTTAAGTTTTTCATTGGGATCCTCCCAGCCCTGCACTGTTTTAGGCTTGGGTCAAATGGTGGAGAGGGAACAGTGCATTATTGAAGTCATTGATTGGGAATGTTCTGAAGGTGATCTCTCTCTCCCCAGCCCATCCTGGCATTTCTTCCCTCTTCATCTAGCCTACCTGCAGGCAAGATAGGTCTTGTCAATCACTGATCATTATCTAATAAACTTGTCTGACAAAAAACCAGTTATGGGATGGATCAACATGACCATTAACCATGTCTTTAGCACGATTGTTACTTGGTTCTTTTCCCTACCTCCTATGTCACTTCTCATAGTTACCAAGTCACTCATGGTATAATTTCTAGATCATCTTTAGTGTCTTTGTACATAAAAACAAGATATTTAGGGAAGAGTTTACCTTATTATTTTCACCTCTGAAGGCTGTGGACAATTGCCCTTTCTTCCTCCTTCTCTTAGGGCCCGTGCATGAATGGGGGGAGAAGTCAGAGGTCTCTGAAGGTGGATGGCAGCCAGCCTTAGGGATTCCAGTGCGAAACACTGGTGAAATATGCAGGTGTGGATGAGGAGTGAGGAGAGGGCCCAGAGACCCCGTGTGAGCCCTGGGCAGCAGCAGTGTGGGATGCGGAGGGGCTCCACCAGGCAGACCTCGCTCTGAATCAGCTGTGTTGAAATCAACTTCTGAGGAGCCATGATTTCTGCGTTCTAAGCCTCGCCATTTTCTCTCTTACTGATTCTGATCTTAACTCACAGTAATGTTTGTTCCTTCCTCCTGGCTCCTGATAGAAGGTGCATCTCAGGGCTGCTGGCATCTTTGGCTTCATTAATATCAAGTTACTCCAGGGCTCAGTGATGTCACTGTAGCACCTCCCAGTGGGACAAGGGCTGTCCTCCTCTCCCATGGCTACTTACAAAAGACAGTGATAGGGTGACTTTCTCCTCCTCCTCCTCCTCCTCCTCCTCCCCTTCCTCCTCCTCCTCTTCCTTATCCTCCTCCTCCTCCTCCTCTTCCTCTACCTCCTTTCCTTCTACCATGAGCACGAGGCTCCTCTGCTGGGTGGTCCTCTGCCTCCTTGGCACTGGTAAGTCATCAAATACCACTAAGCAAGCAGTCCTGTTGTGTGTATGTATTTGTGTGAGTGTGTGTGTGCCTGTGTTTGTGTGTAATGGTTTAAAAAAGATTGTCCTTCTGTATTCCAAGGTCATACCGATTCTGGGGTCTCCCAGTCTCCCCGACACAGAGTCACAAAGAGGGGACACACTGTGCTACTCAGGTGCGACCCCATTTCTGGACATGAACGTCTTTATTGGTATAGACAGACCCCGGGACAAGGCCTAGAATACCTGACTCACTTCCAGTATGAAGTTGCTGCAGAAAAACCTGAGATGCCTGTTGAGCGGTTCTCTGCACAGAGGCCCAATGGCTCCTTCTCAACTTTGAAAATGCAGCCTGCTGAGCAGGTAGACTGGGCCCTGACCCTGTGTGCCAGCTGCCAGACACAGTGTGCCTCAGCCCCCTCCTTCCTGAGCACAAACCATAAGGGCTCAGCCTCCTCCCACTTCCCAGAGACCCAAACTCAGGAGTTGCCTGTCCTGCTCCTCATCAAAGGGAATGAAGGATTTGGAACCCGAATGGAGATCTGACAGCAGGAGGACAGGAAAGATCCACTGAATTACTACAACAAGGAAGTCAGGATGGGAAAAAACCAGGTCTAAGCTTTCTGACATTACAGTTATAGTCAAGATTCCACATCTGGGATTGGACTTGAAAGCTTAATCTCAAAGACAGTGAAAATATCCTCATATAAGACTATAAAATGTTACACAATTGTAGCAAACTCCTGAGATAAATGTCACTAACTCACACATATAAAAATTAAAGAGTGAGCCAGCCAGAGCAAAGGAACACTAAAGCAGTTTGTAGCTATCAGCCTTTTAAAAAACTGTAGAGGGCTGGGAAGGTGGCTCAGTGGTAGCGCGCTTGCCTTGCAAGCCTGAGGCCCTGGGTTCGATTCCTCAGCACCATATAAGCAAAAAAGAAAAAAGCCGGAAAGTGGCGCTGTGGCTCCAGTGGTAGAGTGCTAGCCTTCAGCTGAAGAGCTGAGGGACAGCGCCCAGGCCCAGAGTTCAGGCCCCACAACCAGACCCAAAAAATAAATAAATAAATAAATAAATAAATAAATAAAAAACTGTAGAATGGTAAGTGAGAATCACCATCAAAATCAATTATCCACAAGCAACTGTCACCAATAATAATACACATTAACTATGTCCATACAATGTTTTTAAATTTCTTTTGACAATCTCAGTCATTATTTAATACTCTTCCACTCATAGCAGGTTTTAAACTGAAAATCTAATTTTGCTTGATTTTATAAAATACAACTCACATAAGGTGCTCAAGATCCAGAAAACAGTTCCTCTACATTGTAGGTTTCTTTGAGGCTTCTAAAGTACATGTGCCAATTTATACTCACACCAGAAGCATGGAAAACTTTCAGTTTGTTTTCTCTGTTTTAGATTTTCAATTGTTTGTTACTTGCACATTGTTTGTTGATAAATTTTTGCATATATTTACATAATATAATGTGGTAATTTAATATATGTCCATCTTTTGAAGAGTTTTTAAATAATTTTTGATTAACCTATTGTAACTGCACAAATTGCTGCTTGTTGTAAATAACTATTTCCAGTTCAATAATTTGAAAAACAAAAGGTCTTAAGAACCAGTCTCTCCATTTCACCCTTTTTTAGTTTGCAGTTAATATTTGTTACTGTTTTAAGAAAGTGCTATTTCAAAATGACCATGCTTTCTTGTATTTCCTTGTAAAATTTTTGAATCACCCCTATCACCACAAAGTCTCAAGTTATACTTATAAAATCAACAAAAGACAATAGAATTAAGAAAGTGGTAACCCTACCCCACAAGTTGGACTAACCAAACTAAGAAAGGCACTGGTGGTTCATACCTGTAATCTTAGGTACTCAGGAGGCTGAGATCTGAGGATCATGGTTCAAGGCCAGCCTGGGTAAGAAAGCCCAAGAGACTCTTATCCCCATTTAACCACCAGAAAACCAGAAGTGGCACCAAGGCTCAAGTGGTAGAGTGCTGGCCATGAGCTGAAGAACTCAGAGATATCACCCAAGCCCAGAGTTCAATTTGCACCACCACCACCACTACCACCAACACCAACACCACCAACAAAAGTAACAAAAAGAAATGGAAGGAAAAAGTCTACCAAAATGTAGACACCAGTACAAGCAGAAGAACATTCAAATCACATCTGATTAGTGTCAATGTCCTTATTAAGTATGGAGGTTGGACCTAAGTAGAAGACCACAAACACAACAAAACAAATTGCAACAAATCTAGATGTCTCCTACAAAAACTTCAGTCCTCAAGTATAAGATAACAGGATAGGAAAAGTAAAGAGACAGAAAAAAAGAACCATACTGATATTACTAGAGAAGATCAAATCAGTACATTATTATCAAATTAAATTTCAGAGTACAGCATATCATCTTGCAATCGAATAATATATTTTATTATATATAATAAGGATTATATGTATTATGTCTTCTCTACATTTTATAGGTAAATATATATGGGACATGTATTCATAATTCAAATAATTTCTATGAATCAGTTAGAGAAAAAGAAATGATTCAACCTAAAAACTAGCTAATTAGTTGTACAGGATCTTACAGAAGATACACAAGCAGGCAGCTTCCTCTTCATATGGCTGCTCCATTGGCTTCCACAGCCATGGAGAAGACTTCTTGACTGAGGGAATCCACAGTGCTTCCCTTCTGGGCATCAACATGGATTGAAGACATTGACAAGGTCCCAACACACTGAGGACACCTGGCAAATACGACTCTCGGGTTTCTCCATGCTTACCACACTATTTGAAAGGAAGAAGTATTTTTCTTCTCATTTTAAACAAGAAGGGCTGTTGCACACCTCCCTCACTTCCACAGGCAAGAGCTGAGACTGCAACAGGCAATAAAGGCCTCCAGGGCTGTCTGGGGGCTGGCAGACCCTGGGGCCAGCTCCTGGTTCAGGCAGTAGAGTGCCATTCCAGTAATGAGCAGAGCTGATCACCAGAGGGCAGTGTGGGCCCACTGAGCCAGCTGCTGCCTGACTGGGAGAGTGTGGGTTCAGCCTTGGCTTGTGGTCCCAGGCAGGGATGTGTTTAGATAAACAGAGGGAGTGCTGGCCCAGGAGGGGAGAATCCTGATGCTCACACATCTACTGGTGGGTATCACAGAGGCATCCACGAACCTAGTCTTCTGCCTCCATCTTACACATTTCATGGGGCTGAGATGGAGCTTGTGTGGAATGGCCCAATTACCAGGCCAGGTGGAGGGAAAGGAGCAACTTCCTCAGAGGACAGCTGCAGAAGCCCTGGGCCAGGACATTTGACCCTGTTTATGCCCTGATTTGTTCAGCACAGGTGGCTCCCCCTGTTGGTCAGAAGCTGAGCTGAATGAGCAAAGGTGTGCCCACTAAGCATGTCCAGGGGGGCGTGGGATCTGTTGGAACATCATCAAGGGAGGCCTCACACTGGGGACACGCCTGTCGTCACTTCCAAGTCCTCTGAACACACAGAAAGGAGGAGCAGGACAAACAGCCACTGTCTCTGTCTCTGTCTCGGTCTCGGTCTCAGTCTCCCTCTCTCTCTCTCTCTCTCTGTCTCTCTCTGTGTCTCTCTCTGTCTCTCTCTTTCTGTCTCTCTGTCTCCCCGCACCCCTCTCTCTCTTTCTCAGACCTGTGCCCTCAGTAGGGAGATGATGCCTGGGGCTGCTCCCCTGGACTCTGCCCCAGGCCCCAGGCTCCTCTGTGGTGTTGTCCTGTGTCTCCTGGGAGCAGGTGAGTCAGGGGCACTGTGGGGCAGAGCCTGGTTGCTGGAGCATCCTATGCCCTCCTGGGCTAGGGCTTCATTGCTGTCTCTTCCCGCCTAGGTGTGGTGCATGCTGGGGTCCTCCAGTCCCCCAGACACCTGATCAAAGCCAAGGGAGGAAAGGCCACTCTGCAGTGCTCTCCTGACTCTGGACATGATGCTGTGTACTGGTACCAGCAGGCCGAGGACCAGAGCCTCCAGTTCCTCATTTCCTATTATCGAGAGTCAGAGAGAGAGAAAGGAAGCATCCCTGGCCACTTCTCAGCTCGGCAGTTCAGTGACTATCACTCTGAGCTGAACATGAGCGCCTTGGAGCTGAGGGACTCCGCGCTGTATCTGTGTGCCAGCAGCTTGCACAGCCCTGCACAGGGACTGGCTTTCTCTACCCAAACCTTCCTGCCCCAGCTGAGGATGTCATTGGGGGGGTGGTGAGGGGCGGGGCTGAGGCCCAGCCTTAGCAAACCCCAAGAGCCTTCTCCAGCTGTGATAACCCTTCTCTGTCCTGCCCAGCTCAGACAGCTTCTGAGCATTTTATTTCCTAACTCACTGGACCCTCTCTGCTCTGTGCCCTAATGGACATTAGATATTGTAATGCAAACACAGACATTAGTGTGTCCATTTATATGTGGGAGATCTCAAAGTATAGTTCATAGACAGAAATCTGTAGCTCAGAGAATTTACTAATATTTAGTCTTCAAAATGATCAGAGACCTAGGATGGAATTATACTTTCTACCTCTTTCGCCTGAAGTGCTCCTGAGGTTCTATGGTATTTTCTGCTGTGTGTAATATCAGGTAGCACAGTACTGTCTCTCCACTGCAAGATCAGCTGAGCAGCAGTGGGTGGTCTCATTATGGTTTGGGGTTGCTATGACACAGTGCCTGTCCATCAGCTTCCAGTGCAGAAACCATTTAGCCAGAGAATATTGGCCCTGTGATTACTTGAAGATGAGATACATGTTTTCAACAAATGAAAAGTAGTGATTCAGTAATGAATTTAAAATTAAATAGAAAGTAGATATTTATAGGTGAGATTTAGCTACCCAAGGAAATTCTTTCAAAGGCTATCATGGAAGGTAGATAATACCTTAGTTTGAAAATGATCCTCAGAGCTTCGGTAGTTCATGTGTCTTTAACATGACCCCTCAAGAAAAATGCAAGTCTCAGCTAGATTCAAGTGTGTATCCTACAAAATTGAGAAGAGTAAGGGAAGGGTGTGGGGTAGGGGAAGGAGGGGTGAGAATGTTGCAAGGGGTGTCTTTGGTCACTGTAGATCATCCTCATCACTGCTCTGTTAAATGGAAACTTTCTCTTTACATGCCTTGGCCCAACTGTGCTCCACAGGCTCCTTTTGTTGGTGTCTCTTAGTGTCTGGGACCATCTGGGTCTTTCAAGACCTGAGCACCAGGCTCTCATTGGATTCTCTACACCTGCTGAGGTCTGTCTGATTCTGCATTCCTCTCACTAGACCAGGAACACAGCAATGTCCATCAAGATACAGAAGTTATGGTTGATTGGGAGGGGGGAGGGGGGATGCTGGGAAGGGATGTGAAGGGTAAACAAAGGAGGAGGCTGCAATGCTTGGTAAGAAGTGTACACATTATCCTGCCCATGTAATTGTAACCCCTCTGTACAGTATGTTCACAAATAAAATAAAATTAAATTAAAAAAAGGAAGTTATGGTTGAGTTGATGTTATGCTTTTGGTAACTAGAAACCTCTGAAGGAAGTCAGAGAATGTCTGTGTGATCCTGCAAATGGCAGTCCTCTATCTCTGCTAGTCAAAATCTTCTTCCTATTAGTAATCAGCCTTCTTAGCCTTTGACAGAAAGCACAGACAAGAGAACATCGGTGATCCCGGATACATGGCTGGGCTGAAAGCAGGGAGAATTCATCTCCATGAGGACAACTGTGTCCTGAGCCCAGAGGGTTCCTGTCACCTGAATCACTGTGCAATGATATTCTGGGTCCTTACTTTAACACTGTGAGGTAGATACCTAGTGTCTGGGGGCTTCTGAAGGCTGGGATATCTTCTCAGACTGACATTCAATTCTTTAGACATTGGGCACTAATAAAAGCTACTTATAGATACTTAAAGCCAAGATGCCAAAGAAAGCCACAGGGCAACCCTGAGGCATTTCTGAGGATGACTGAATATTAGGAAAAATTGGAACAGAGTAAAGACAGGGAATTGTATCATAATGGAAGTAAAATAAGACCAGAGGAACAGATGTCCTTCCTAAGATTATGAAAACACTAAAATAGATAGTTCTAGTTAATAAGAAATTAAAACTGGCACTCATTATGAACTGTTAAATCATGGATATGCACTACAATTACTCGTATAAATGCCATAACCCTGTGCATGCACATAACAGAAAGGAGTTGTTTCTGCAGGGAAGGGGCGTGGCAGGTTAGCAGCAGCCCAGGCATTGGTGGGGAGGTGATGCCACTGAGTCACTGAGAAGCAGCCTTCTTTTTCCTCCAAAGGAGGCTGGGAGACCTGGGACTCTGCCCTGCTCCTGAGATGGGCGCCCAGCTGCTGCACGTGGCCTTCTGTCTCCTGTGGGCAGGTGAGAGATGGCTATAGGTGGGCACCTCACTGCCTCCCACCCCAGGGCATCCCGGGGTTATCCCTGACAGGCCCCTTCAGGCTTGGGTCATTCTCTGTTACAGGACACATGGAGGCTGCCATCACCCAACGTCCAAGACACAAGCTCACAGAGACAGGAAGACAGGTGAATTTGAGCTGTCACCAGACTGACAACCATAACTCCATGAACTGGTATCGGCAAGACCCTGGGCATGGGCTGAGGCTGCTCCATTACTCGTATGGAGAGAGGAACACTGCAAAAGGAGACATCCCCGATGGGTACAGCGTGTCCAGACCACGCACGGAGGACTTCTCCCTCACTGTGGACTCAGCCACCCCCTCCCACACAGCTGTGTACTGGTGTGCCAGCAGTGTCTCCACAGTGCTGCGGGGCTGCCTCCTCTCTGCACAGAAAGTGTGAGGGGAGACGGAGGGCATCTGCTCGCCCCTTTGAAGTCTCCAATCTCAACAGCAGTGTGTGCCAACTCGTTCCTTCTCAGCCCCTGTCAGATCAGAGCTTGGGGGCTACAGGGTACAGATGTCCTTGCTTAAACACGCGTGCACCCTGGTGGTGCGATTACTTGTTCTGGATGACAGTGGCCATTGAATTAGTATTGAATCAAATTGATCTTCAACAGTGGCAGGAAGATGCTCCTGGCAGAGTGGGATTTTATAGATGGAAGATATACAACAGAGTTATCCGTGAACTTTAGGATCTGTTTTTTTTTTTGTATTAGTCAGTTTCCTATCCCTTGGACATAACGTCGGAGTAAACCTACGGAGAAAAGGGTTATTCATTTGAATCACAATCTTAGGCATTTTAGACAGTGTTCACTTGGCTGTGTTGTTTCCACTAGAGAAGTTAGGCGTCATGGTGGGGAGAACATAGCATAGCAGAGTTGATTGCTCCATAGCAGCCTGGCAGCAGAGAAGGAGGGAGCAAAGAGGAAGGAGACAGAAAGAACATAGGAAGGAAGGAAGGAAGGAAGGAAGGAAGGCAGGAAGGAAGGCAGGAAGGAAGGAAGGCAGGAAGGAAGGAAGGAAGGAAGGAAGGAAGAAAAGAAAGCAGAAAGAAGGATGCCAAGATGGAAGGAAGGATGCAAGGAAGGAAAAGAAGAGAAGAAATACTGCAAAAATACTTGTAGGTGGAAGTGGCTCTGTGGCTCAAGTGGTAGAGTGCTAGCCTTAAGCTGAAGAGCTGAGGGATAGCGCCGAGGCCCAGAGTTCAAGCCTCATGACCAATAAAAAAATACATGTAGAGAAGAGACAGAGAGAGGAAGAGAGAGACAGAGATAGAAAGGGAGAGAATAAACAAAAGGTATGCACATAATTCAGGACATGTCCAAGGGAGCAACTTCCTCCAACTAGGTTCTCAATTGTAATATTCTCAAGTTTCTCCATCACTTACTAGTTCATTCAGACCAGAAACCATCAGTCCAATGATCCATGAAGGAAACTGGAGCCCCAGTCAGAGGACTCCAAAGTCCTGTTCTGATCACTGCCTGCACACAGGACCAAATTCTTGAGTGCTGATGCAACACTGCACCTCTAAACTATAACAACATTACTGAGCTGTTTTCTTTCTGTAGCATTGCTCACCTCCTCTAATAAATTTGGCAGAGAATTCTTATCACTAGATAACTGAAAGACAGCCCATGAGAACCTGGAGAAAGAGAGAGGCTCAAAGGGATGGGTAGTTACATAGCAGAGGGAAGCTCACTAGCTCATAGCTTGAATTTCAGTTGCTTTGGTAGAGGCAAGAAGTAATATTCAGGAGATCTGGAAATGTGCAGGGAGCCTCAACTCCTAAAGTGTTGGAACAGTTCGTGCTTTTCCACAGGCCATGACTGTGCACAGCCTCAAGAGCTCTGTGGGCTTGCTGCTATTGGACAGGAAGACAGAAGCCTCCATGGAGATGTCACATACCATCACGATGGGGGCTGCTGGGTGGGGACACAGAAGCTCCTCCTCTGCTGCATCCCCCAAGACAGAGAGCTGGGAGCACCTCCTGCACTGCCTCACCATGGGCACCAGCCTGCCAGCCTGCGTGTCCCTGTGTCTCCTGGGGATGGGTGAGTCCTCACATCCCCACCATCTCCTTGTCACATCCCCCCAAGATCATCTCCACTGTTTCCACCCGGATTCTTTGTCTTTCATCCACAGCACTCACAGAAGCTGGGGTCACTCAGTCTCCCAGATACAAGGTCACAGAGAAAAGCCAAGCTGTGTCTCTTTGGTGTGATCCAGTTTCTGGTCACAATGTCCTCTTCTGGTACAGGCAGACCCCGGGACAGGGCCCAGAGAGGCTGCTTTATTTTCAGAACATGGATGTGAGTGAGGATGCCCAGTTGCCCAAAGATCGGTTTTCTGCACAGAGGCCTGAAGGTGCAGACTCCACCCTGAAGATTCAGCTGCACAGCTGGAGGACTCAGCGGTGTATCTCTGTGCCAGCAGCTTAGACACAGCCAGGCAGGGACCGTTTCCTGCCATGCACAAAGCTCTGTGCTTCTCTGCCTCTGTGCAGCTCAGAGCTGCCCTGCACAGGGCCTGCGCTTTCCTCACCATCTGAGGAAGGAGGAGGAGGCCCGTCTTCAGATGCAGGCTTCACTCATGTCAGGAGAGGGCAGGCATTGCTTCTTGAGACATGAGTGCTGCAAACGTGTGAAAAGGTTATCTGAGGGACTGGAAGCAATCAAGAACCCCAAAGTGACAGTCCCTCAGGAGAGACCTGGGCATCCCAGAGCCCAGATCTAACTGGTCCATAAACCATGCACTCTCAAAACACACAGCCAACTCAGGATCATAGACTTGGTTGATATGCTCAACTGTTTTGCTGTTTCT